GGCAGTCACTTCAGGATCTCTGATCACCTCCAGGATGTCGTCGTTGGTGGTCTCGGAGAAGCCTGGAACTGTAACAGTCTGCGCAGCTTCTCTGGCAAGGTCCACTGCTACTGCAACATTCTGAACCTCACCAGTCACAGATTGAACTCCTCCTCTCACCTGGTATTCCATGCAACACATGTCTCCATGCGTGACGAATTGTAGCAATAGACAGCTGATCCCATGACTCCACCAAGAAGTCCACAGCTTTCTTGATGTTAAATACTCTCCAGAATTGTTTGAAGAGTATTTTTTGCTGTTCTAACTGTTGATCCTCATCTTCTTCGCTCTTGCTATCGGTGGTGGTGTCACTCAGGTTACGCAACTCTTCCCTGGTGTTGGTGTAGTCGTTCAGGAGCTGGAATTTTTTTGTTGAAAATGCAGCTTTCACATTGCAAATCAACTCCTGGTCCATGGGCTGGATTAAAGACGTAGTGTTGGGAGGAAGGAAGACCACTTTTACGTTGGGGTGACGATCTAACAGTAAGGGCGAGTGTCTGGTGCGTTGTCCAGCAGCAGCAAAATATTAAATGGGACATTCTGTCGCTCACAGAATTTCTTTACATCGGGAACAAAACAGTCATCAAACCAGGAGGAGGACAGTATAGAGAACATCCATGCCTTACGTGCGGTCAGCCAGTGGACATTTAGCTTGGTCATGTCCATGCTTCTGTAGGCGTGCGGCTTGCGGGCTGTGTGGATCACCGATAACTTGAGCTTACAGGTACCGGAGGCATTGGTGGTAAACAGGACGGTGATGCGTTCCTTCTGCATTTTCTGGCCCCAAATCCTGCTGGCATTCTTCACAACGAAGGACTTGGAAGGTAGCTTTTTCCAGAAAAGACCAGATTCGTCCATGTTAAACACCTGGTCGTCACTGTACTGTCCTTCCTCCATAATCTCACGTAAAAACGGAGGAAATTCCCGAGCCGCAGCACGATCAGCACTCGCTTCTTCACCACCAATGTTTATATTGGTGATCTTGTTCCAGATCTTAAACCTCTGCAACCACCCAGAGGAAGCATTAAAGGGTTTGGGCTCTGAAGTTCCCATCTTTCGTGCCACTGCCATGTACAGTTCACGTGCGTAGTCCTTAACAGAGCGCGTGTCGACCGCCATGTTCCGTCGCGCCTGACGCACCAAGTACCTCACAAGTAATTTTTCTGTCTTGAGAAGCACCTGGTTGTGAAAATACTTGATCATAGAAGCACCTGTAGACTTTGTGATCTTCATGTGCTCCTTTATCTTGGCTGAATCCTTCTTTATAGTCCGGATCGTAGATTCGTTCACGCCATGCTGGCGCGCCAAATCAACCTGCCTTGTTCCTTTCTCCAACTCTTGGATGATGCTATACTTCACCTCGTAGCTTAAGGAACGTCGTGTCTTCTTTGGTTTAGTGCCGCTGGGTCCAGGTAAGGAAAGGTTTCTCTCTGGGGGTGGTGGTCCGGCGGAAGCCATTTTACGGAACAATGGATGCGCGTTTACACGGAGTGGCCTTGAGGGATGAAACTGCCGCGGCTAGGTCAAGCGTCGTCTTTCCTCCCTCCCTCCCTCCCCCGGGTGGACACGTCATAATACTTTAAGCCAATTACAGCTAGCAGCAGAGGGGGGTAGGGATGCATGGCCAATCACAGGTCTGATACGTCATATGACGTCAGTGATAACGCAACAAAGACACACACTGCGCAACCTTACCGCGCCGCTTGCCCAAGCGGAGGGAGGAGGAGGGAGAGGCAGGCAGGCGGGCGGGTGGCGGGTGGGGCGAATCTAAAAATAGCGTCGCGCCGGACACTCTCCGCGTAATGGGGTTCACGTACCGCGTAATGTGAGCACGTGAGGTTCTGGCAAGGCACCGCGTAAAGTGAGGGTTAACTGCATATATATATATATATATATATATATATATATATATATATATATATATATATATATATATATATATATATATATATATATATATATATATATATATATATATATATATATATATATACACAGCTTGGCTCCCTGTACTGTGCATTCTATAGTTAAAAGTGCTGACAAGATCAAGGAGTTGGCTGCGTCTGCAACACCACTGACGGCTACGAAGGTGACGAGGTTCTGTGATGCTGAGAAGGGGAGTATGGAGCGGATGTCGAGCACGTGGATTGACGACCAGTCCCAGCACCTTAAAACACATGATTCAACAGAAGGCAGTGGAGAACAACAGCTTTCAGTGTAAATTGACAGCGATAATGAGTGTGAGGTGGCTGACGACCCTGTCAGTGAGGAGAGTGAGGTGGCTGACGACCCTAGCTTCCTCTCACTCCAGTAAACCTTCACCCTCTCCCCTACTGCCAACTTCAGCAAGCAAGCAACACAGCACATCAGAGATAAATTAACAGTCTAACAGTCTACGTTTAAAACTTACCTCACACACCTACGCACATAAACATTCAAACACTCACACACTCAAACATGTAAAGTACCCCTGTACGAGGTCTGTCCGGAAAGTATCCAGCCATTTACTATTAAAAAAAATATTGCTTACCTAGGACAATGGCGCCTTAGTCCCCTTCAAAGTACTCCCCTTGGGACCTCACACACTTCTCCCAGCGTCCCTTACACTTTTCAAAACAGTCTGCAAAGTCCTCTTTCGGGATCTTCATCAGCTGCCTCGTCGCATTCTCCTTAATCTCGTCCATGGTCTGAAATCTCCTCCCTTTCAGCGGCGATTTTAGCTTTGAGAAAAGCCAGAAGTCGCAGAGAGCCAAATTTGGGCTGTAGGGGGGCTGAGAGACCTGGGTGATGCGATGTTTTGCCAAAAAACCCTGCACGAGACGTGAAGAATGGGCAGGCGCGTTGTTAAGATGAAGCTGCCAGTCACCACTTGCCCAAAGCTGCGGTCGTTTTCTTCTTACCGCATCCCTCAGCCGGCGAAGAACTTCAATGTAGTATTCATTCGTTATTGTTTGGTTATTGTAAATGCGACGGTCACACAGTACCCACGCTCACTCAACGGCGTCTGCCGGGCAACTGAGTTGTCCCACGGGAGTGTGGCTGTTCACGCATGCGCAGTACGGTCCTCTCTGAGTGGCTGCCAAGTTTATCAAGGCCGCGCGACCAGTTTTCACAATATTCACAATGGCTGGATACTTTCCGGACAGACCTCGTATACTGTACTTGTAAACATATACGCCTAATGAACTCAAAGTGTTAGTTATTGATGTTTATTGATATTTTGCCCTTGTTTCCCTATTTATTTTATGTTCTATATATATTGAGTAAAACAAGTGTTTAAATTCTGACGGTCGTGACCACCGCGATGCTTGTATCCCCCCTATTTACATTATTTCTTATGGGAGAAATTGCTCTGCTATTCGCAATTTCGATATTCGCAACGAGTTTCATGCCCTTTAACCTTTGCGATATGTGAGGCAGCCCTGTACAACAAAAAGTACTCTCTTGCCAAACCAATAAATAAAAACGCCAAATGAAAGTTTAACATGGTTTCCATTTGCACATAATATACCTGTACTGTACATCTGTACTCTGTTTACCATAGCAACGGTGATGCCATCTCCGCCGATTCCCTAGCAACGCTCCCCCTCTCCCACCACCAACCACCTAGCTGTCCTTCCGCTCCCCACTAAGCCAGCTAACTCGTGTGCAAAGAAATGAATATTCCTTTTATTTGTTTGCCGTTAGGATGGTGTGTGCATGTATATCAGTAAAACTAAATGAAGAAAGTTATGTATATCTACCCAAAAATACGAGTTGAAAAACAACAGCTTGGCCCAGTAGCCTGGTTAGAGAGACGAGTCTAACCTGGCAACAATGCTGCCAACGATGTTAAAGATGTATATGTGAAAAGAAAGTTATCTGTAAATCTTCATTTGTATCAGGTATTTGTAGATTGAAAAATAAATGTTACAGGTATGACATTAATTGATTGTAATGCTTGTAAGAGTTAAAAAATGGTTACTACTTAGCTACCTGAGAAGAGTTAGGTGTCTGCCATACGGACGTTAATTGTCTCAGGTTATCATCAGTACAGTAGTTATAAATTGAGCTTTTATATTTACAATAATTATTTTTTGTAATTAATTAAAAATAACAATACTTGTAAAGTGTTAAGTAAGCAATAACATATTTTTAATTCTGGAGTTGGGTTTGGTAGAATTTAGCGTACTGGAGACAGCAAAGGGGGATTCATTAGCTTGCGGCTACACATGTAGGACGCAGGCTGATTTTTGTAGCCATTTTTCAGACAAAAAAGTGTCTTGTTTGCCATAGAATGAGGTAGCTCTTGATCAAAAGATGGGCCTTTGGGGCTTGAGGTTTCATTTTGTACATTTGCTGGCTCTTTTTTTTTTACGGGGAGCAGCCCACCTGGCCACAGGTCATTGACCCACATCCGGACCTGGGAGGGGGCGAAAATTTAATAATAATAATAATAATAATAATAATAATAATAATAATAATTCATTGTAAATAAAATTTATAATAAAATATACAAAATTGGAAACAGAATAATAAAATAATAATAATAATAATAATAATAATAATAATAATAACAGCACTGTAATAATAATAATAATGAAGAACCATAAAAAATACACACAAAAAAAGAAAAAAATCAATAGTGAGAAACAATTTATTGAATGTATGTTGTTTTATCAATAGTACGAGAAACATTTGAGACCCTGCAATTGTGTGTAAATGAAGCAGAAAGTCAGATCAGCAGCCTGGGACTTGGTCACAATTTTCGTGATGCCATATGGCAGCAGGGTCTACCATTAGACAACACATTATGCTTCCAATATCTTCCCAGGCGGTAGTATCTCCCTGTATGGTAGCTGCCTACTACATACTACAAAGAAGTCAAGATCAAAATTGCCTTTGTAAGGAAACAACTATATTTACAATGTTTGTAATAGTGACTGTGCATTATATACATTTATTGTTTTTTTTTGTCATAGGTAATACATCGTTTCTCCAAGTGTTGTGGAGCAAATATTGCTTTGAGCAATAATAATACTACTGCTATACGTGTCAGACACTTCAATCATGGACTTATTTTTACTTCACATCCATTGGAGCCTGAAGAACTATTTGAGGTAAGACCTTAATCCTAAAATTTAGAAATGTTTAACTGTTGTAGAATTAACCACCATGAATGGTAACATAGACTGACTAATGGGACCGTAGTTCCACTTTAACCTTTCATCTGCTCTTGCACACACATTAAACATCCACAAATGTACGATGATAATATTTTTCTTATATTTACAGGTTCAAATTGAACGAGTTGCTGTGGGTTACTGTGGCTCTTTGGGGATTGGGTTAACCTCCCTCCCTGTTAGTGACTCGTACCCATCTGTCAACCTCCCGGCATCCTTAGCAGGGATTGAGTCTGCAGATACTTGGTGGGTCAGTGGGTCTGATGTGAGGAGAAATGGCTCTTCCATTTTGCGACTCAACTTCTGCCCCAACCTAGGAAGACTACTAAATGGGGATCGTGTAGGAATCAAGAGAACTAGTGATGGGGCTATGAGGCTTTACATTAATGGAGAGGACTTTGGTGTGGCAGCTACAAATGTGACAAAAGTAAGGTTCTCTAATATTTATCTCTCCTGTGGTTGTATAACTTTTGCACATAAATAGATACTCTTTATTTCCTCTCATTTACGGTCCGTGTTTATTTCAGAAAGATACTGAATAAATTGGAATAAATATGGTATTGCAGTGATTTATTTTCTAATAGACTTTTGTGATGTGCAGGAGACATCTCTGACCAGCAATTGATCAACTATACACTACTTAAACCTCAGAGACTTTTAGTAAAAACTTGGTGCAGTTTTGTTACCACAGTCATTTCAGTATCACTGCAACTCAGAGATAATCTAGACTGTTTCATGTATGTACAGTACATTCATTACCATCATTCTATTTTATACAGTTTTGTAATATTAGATCCATACATGCATATTTTAATACAGTTTCACTTTGTTTTCTCTTTACACTAATATAGATGCTTGTCGTAATGGAAGCAAAGTCTTTATAAACAGATTGTGAATGCTTTTCCCAAATTACTTCAACATTTATGGAGAATGTTGCAAGTACTGTAAGTGTTCAAATCTCTTCACTTGCTGCCTACCCCATCTTGAGGCAATGTGGTGTTTCAAAGTATTTAATTATTTCTCTTTCTTTCTCTTTCTCAAATTTATTTATACAGTGGTTTTATTATTGATTTATGATATGGTAGGACACTGTAGCAAGAATATCTTTCTTTGTTTATGGCTTAGCAGGATAAAGGTCACTTTGTGTAAAGAACGTAACCTCCATTTTAAGGTGATTTTTTTTTTGGGTATAATACAGTACACCCATCTCTCGTTTTACGTTGGGGTAACATTCTTGAAAATCACAGCTTAATTAAAAAATGCGTCAATTAAACATATTTTTCCCATAAGCATACAGTCAACCCTCGCTTTACGCGGTCCCACTTTACGCGTTTCCACGTTTACGCGGTACCTTGCCGAACACGGAATGCTCACTTTCCGCGGTGTGTGTACCCTTTTACGCGGAGAGCGGCGCGAACAGGGTGCGCACAAGGTCGCCCAGTCATCAAAACATTACCGAGTTCTTCACCCGCCACCCACCACAGCCGGCCCAAGTCAGTGATAGTGAGGATATGGACTTATATGGACTTTGAGGGGTTTGACAAAGAGGCCCTGCAGGCCTCTGTGGTGGATAGTGATACAATTGATACAAGTGATACAGGTGAGGGCCAATAATCTGCCCTCTGCCTCGGAACCAACCCCCCATCCCCGTGTGCCCAGTCATCTTTTCTACTAATGTAAGTGTTAAAAAACCTAGTATTATTGATATTTCTCATAATTATTAATTGTGTGTGCATACCATCATAAAATTAAGAAGTTGTTTTTACTACAACGTAGGTATTGTGTCTGAAAAAGTGGAGTTTGATGGTCGGCCCGGTCTCTATTTCAATTAATCCCATATGTTATGTTGTTCACTTTACGCGTTTCTCGCTTTACGCGGGCCTCCGTGGGTTCAATTGACGGCGTAAAGCGAGGGTTCACTGTACGCACCGTTGTGGGTGCTAGACCAAGCACAGCAGCTATGTCTACAGCACGTTCCCCTTTTTCAAAACGGGCTAGTACATCCATTTTCGTAGCAAGGGTAATGCTCTTATGTTGCCTCTTCACTACAGTAGCACTTGATGGGCGCTTGGAAGCCATTTCGAATGGTTAGAGTTCAGTTTTAGAGCAAAAACACTTAAGCACACACGAATGATGTGAAGTCGTAACACAGACTGGCTTGGCGCTGCTTGGAGATGCTGTGACGTTCTGCGAGTGAGGGCAGCACGCCGATCCGAGAGAGCGTAGCATGGACACACGAAAGAGGGTAGTGCTCCGTAGAAAGCAGTCTCTGATGACGCAAAACGACGTAGTACAGTATCCGATCACCAGAACATTTTTGTCTAAAGTTTAGCGACGTAGTACCGAAACGACATTAAGCGAGGACTTACTGTACTTAAAGACTCGTGTCTCCATTTATTTACTCAGTGACACAAGTTTCATACAGCTGCTTTATAACTGTGACATGCTTTCACAGCTAGAGTATTACCTAAATATGAAGCTATGGTTAGGATTATGAGCTTATAGATGCTAAATGTTGATTAATGTCCCTGAAAACATAGGATTAGACTAATGAATGAAGTTTTATGGATCAATTAGTAGCAGAAATATTGGAACATATGTAATCTATGACAGCCATTTTGAAACTCCAAAATGACAGCTATATATGTGTCTGTGCAAATGGCAATAATTTTCTATATATGTGACTTTTTTCATGGACGAAGGGAGGCTCAGGAACGTAACTCCTGTATTTTATCTATTTCTTATGGCAGTGGTTCTCAACCTTTTTCACTCCATTCACCCCTTGAGGAATTTTCAACATCCTCGTGGCCTCCTTCATTTTTCTCCCAGAACAGACAAACAAACAAGTGATAAAGACTAAAGAATGATAAAGAAGAACAGATAAATAGGATAAGAGTTAGAATGGTAAACACACATTCACATACCTAACACACCCATGCACTCACACATAAAGCACACATACAGTCATACACAGACATGCACACTCAAGCTAGCAAGCTGAAGTGTACTTCCTGTAAGCAAGAACACACCTCCTTTGACAAGCACTGCCCAACTTGGAAGAATGAAAAGAATAGTGAGTCATACCAATTTAGCACTAAATATGGTAGGATTATATAAGTAAAGAATGAGTATGAACAACAATGGCACCAATAAATAAGGAAATAATTAATAAAGGAAGTGTACAAATATTTCACCCACGTAAAGCAGCGACCACATGAAATATGAAACAAAATAAGTAACACCAATTACGGAGTATATTATGCTTGAGTCAAGCTCAAACACAGTATATGGTTCAGAGACAATACACTCCACTGTTTTCGTGATGGTATCCCAGGCCAGACTGAGATCATTCGGTCCTATCACCACTTGCAAAGGGATGACACATGGACACGTACTGAACAAGTCAGTTCAGCAGCTCGGTCCAGCGCCTGTCACACAGACAGGGACTGGACCTGTGAAATCTTAAATAATCCGTAAAGATAAAAAAAAATTAGCACCAGAGTATGTTAATATTAAAATTGTATTGTTATGATTAAACAAAATGACAAAAAAAGAACGAAAATTCTCTTCTGGCAAGTCAAAATAAGTAATACAAGTTTTGTTTAATTCAGATTCCCAACATTATTTGGAAACGTACAATTTATAACAGCTCGCCGTGGCTCCCCTAAATTCTTGCCGTGGCTCCCTTGCCCCAGGTTGAGAACCACTGTGTTTTGGGGAAAATTGATCCTCTTAACGTTGTTTTGCTTAACGTCGCGTTTCAGGAACGTAACCCCGACGTTAAGCAAGGATCCCCTGTATTGTGAAAAAGTAAAAGAAATACGGTAAGTCCTCGCTTAACGTTGTGGTTCCGTTCCTGAAAACTGCGATGTTAACGGAATCAAATTTCCCCATAAGAAATAGATGAAATACACTAGTTACGTTCCCCAGCCTCACTTTGCCCCATAAAATACATTACATATACATGTTGGTAGTAGGTAGCTACCAAACAGGGAAGTACTACTGCCTGGGAAGATATTGGAAGCATAATGTATTGTCTAATGGTAGACCCTGCTACTATATGGCATCACGAAAATTGTGACCAAGTCCCAGGTTGCTGATGTGACTTTCTGCCTCCTTTACACACAATTGCAGGGTCTCAATTGTTTCTCTTACTTTGACGACACAACATACTGTACATACAATATATTGTTTCTCACTCTTGATTTTTTTCATTTTTTAATTTCTTTATGGTTCTTTATCATTATTATTATTATTATTATTAGTGTTGTTTTTATTATTATTGCTATCATTATTATTTTGTTTTTAATTTTCTATTTTGTATTATAAATTTTATTTTCTATAAATTACAGTTGTACCCCACTTAACGCGGTCAATTGAACCCAGAGGGTCCCGCGTTAAGTGAAATCTGCGTTAAGTGAACAACAGAACATATGGGATTAATTCCAATAGAAACCGGCCCGACCCCCAAACTCCACTTTTTGAAGACACATACCTATGTTGTAGTAAAAATAACATCTTAATTTTATGATGGTACATGCACACAATTAATACTTAAGAGAAATAGAGAAATACAGTCGCCAAGTTAATGTCCATTCAAATAATGGACTCAACTCCCTCCCCCTCTCACACTACACAGCCGGCTAACAGATGGTCGGTCGGTCCCTCCCTCCCCACCCCCCACCAACCGTCCCAAGGAGATGTGTGGGATAACCTCAAACTAAAGTTAGGAAAATATAATTGACATTGCTGGATTCCTTGTAAGACCAGGAATATTTTGAATATAAATGTCATATATTTTGGACAAAAGATAACATAGTTACCTAGAGAAAAATTTTTATCTAAAAATTGTAAGTTTAAAGCAAAATATATGATGTTTATATTCAAAATGATCACCAAATTATAAGAATTCCAGCAATGTAAATTATATTCTGACCGGGTAATTTGTATGAATTTTATGAGCTAAAACAAATATCTTCAGTTAATAAAAAAAAAATAATCTTCACGACACTATCTGTCAATCAAAGTACCCCACCTTGCCTCCCCCCCTCTTCCAACCGCGCGGTCAGTCCCAACCCTCCCCCCCACCCCCCACCAATCCTCCCTTCCAGAGTTTTTAACATTTAGTATTAAATAATACCTCAGATTAAAGTTAGGATAATATAATTGACATTGCTGGATTCCTTGTAAGACCAGGAATATTTTGAATATAAATGTCATATATTTTGGACAAAAGATACCATAGTTACCTAGAGAAAAATTTTTATCTAAAAATTGTAAGTTTAAAGCAAAATATATGATGTTTATATTCAAAATGATCACCAAATTATAAGAATTCCAGCAATGTAAATTATATTCTGACCGGGTAATTTGTATGAATTTTATGAGCTAAAACAAATATCTTCAGTTAATAAAAAAAAATAATAATTCTTCACAGGGTAACAGATGGTCGGTTGGTCCCTCCCTCCCCCCCACCCCCCACCAACCGTCCCAAGGAGATGTGTGGGATAACCACTAAATTTTAATAAATAATACCTCAAACTAAAGTTAGGATAATATAATTGACATTGCTGGATTCCTTGTAAGACCAGGAATATTTTGAATATAAATGTCATATATTTTGGACAAAAGATACCATAGTTACCTAGAGAAAAATTTTTATCTAAAAATTGTAAGTTTAAAGCAAAATATATGATGTTTATATTCAAAATGATCACCAAATTATAAGAATTCCAGCAATGTAAATTATATTCTGGCCTGGTAATTTGTATGAATTTTATGAGCTAAAACAGGCAGTCAGGCAGGGTGGCGGGTGGGGCAAATCTAAAAATAGCGTCTCGGACACTCACCGCGTATATGTGGAAAAAATCCGCGTTAAGTGAAAGTTCAGCTTTGGCAAGGCACCGCGTATATGCGAAAACGCGTTAAGTGAAACCGCGTTAGGCGGGGTAAAACTGTATTGTTTATTTTTATTTATATATTTTTATTATAATTATATATATATATATATATATATATATATATATATATATATATATATATATATATATATATATATATATATATATATATATATATATCCCACAAAAAAAAAAAAAAAAAAAAAATTCAATGGAATTTTTATATAAAATAGTATATACAGGTTGTACCTCTCTAGTCCGGCAACCTCGGGACCTGACCGGTGCCGGACCATGGTAATTCACCCTTTTCCTGGATAGATAGTGACTTGTGCTTATGCTTGGAAGCACTAGCACCACTTTCTCTGCATCATGGTCTCTTTGAAGACATATTGAAGGGTTAAATGTCGTATAGTAGCTTCTCAAATTTCGCGAGTTTTTAATTCATAACGTATTTTATTGGAACACATAAAAAATAAATAAATACAAATTTTGACGGCGGAAACTTGAATTTCGACGGGTTTCAACGGCCCGCCAACGTAAAGACGACGTGCATAATCGTGTAAACAGCCTCATTTCTCTTATGTACAAAAGATTCATAATTGTTGATTACTGAATGTCTTTTTTATTGAATTAATGTTTAGGTGTGCAAAATGAGCAATACAATTCATTAATAATACGTAGAATATTAAAACACACGAGGAAATGACACAGCATTGTTTTCGTTGATTACAAAACCAGTGACTGACTGTTTCTACATATAAAACTGAAGAAAATAAGACCTTGCCTGTAGCTGTAGTAAAATTAATATGGTTGTTTTAAGTAATGTTATTTAATGTTAATAAATGGAACAATAGAAGTAGCTAACGATAATGGTATGGAAAAAGAGAGATCGCGTATGTAAGTGCGCATGCGCACACGTGAAAACATATCGTCATTACTTTACATAAGAATATGAAAGCAACACTTATTTACTGTTCATATATATTTTAATTAATGTTTCTGAATTTGTTTTTATTGAATTAATGTTTGCGTGCGCAAAATTAACAATACAATTTATTAATAATACGTGAAATATTAGAGGAGACGAGACGGCTGCCGGCATTGTTTATGTTAAAGCTTACAAAACCAGTGACTCATTGGTTCTACATATAAAACTGAAGAAAATAAGACCCTGATTTTAGCTGTAGTAAAATTAATGTAAAAAAATTAATATGGTTGTTTGAAGTACCTGTAATGTTATTTAATGTTAATAACTCGAACAATATAAGTAGCTAACCATTAATGGAAAAAAAAAAAGTGAGACTGCGCGTATGTAAGTGCGCACATGTGAAAACACATCATTACTCTACATAAGAATATGAAAGCAACACTTATTTACTGCTCATATATATTGAAGGGTTAAATGTTGTACTCTGTATAGACAAGCAGAGAGAGACAGAGCAGCCGAACTGCCGGATGTAAACAAACCTTAATTTCTCGCGTTTTTTTTTAAGGGGATTAGCCCACCGGCATAGGTCACTGACCCATTGGGGCCTGAGGGGCAAAAATTTAATACTCCTGTAATAATAATAATCATTTAGATAAGTATAAAAAAAAAAAAAAAAAACTGCCTATCTACCTATTGGATAAACTAAAATCGTTGCGGACCATGGGAGTTTCCGGACCACAGAATGCCGGACTAGAGAGGTACAACCTGTATTATACATCCCAAAAGATAAATAAACAAAATCCTTTGTATTGTACTCATTGATGGGCGGAGGTGGAGCGAGTGTGGTGGATAGTGGAGAGGAGGAAGGTGGCGAGTCACTGAGACCCGGAGGGTGACTCCTCCTCCTGCTCTGACTGGGTGAGAGAGGGTGATGTACCGTACAAAGTAGTCATGACGATGTTATACCGAATTGGCGGGACGTTATCCGAATCATAGGTATCTAAAGAGTAGCGACATTATAACGAAGCAACGTTGTCGGGGTCAACGTTAAACGAGAACTTACTGTAGTTGTGCTAAGGGCAAACACATAAAGGGAATAAACATTTCTTTGCACATAGTTAGCTGGCTGGCTCAGAGGAGGAGCAGGAGGAGGCGAGACATGGGGGGGGAGCATTTCTAGGGGTCGACGGGAACTGGTTTACTGGCTGGGAAAATGGGGGGGGAGAAGGTGAGGTGATATGTTTGACAGTTGATGCCAAGGTCTAGTGCTTATTTATTTATGTCCTTAAGAGTGACTAAGTTTTTCTCTTATAAAATGTAACTGAACTGACATGGGCGAATATAATTAAAATTGCTGGAATTCTTATAAGATAGTGATTAATTTGAATATAAACATGCTATAGCTCGCATTAGACATACAAATTTTATTTCTAATTTAAGAATTTTAGTACAGGGTACAAAGAGCAAAATTTGTTATCTCGTGCAAAATATATGATGTTTATATTCAAATTATTCGCTGTCTTGCAAGGATTCTAGCATTGTTAATTATATTCTCCAAACTTTAGTCTGTGACATTATATAAGATAAAAACTTTAAGCCTAAAACACCAAACCCTGGCTGGGAAGATGGTGGGGGGGGGGAGGGAAGTGACAGTGAAATGTTTGACAGTTGGTGCCAGATATTTGTTTATTTATGTCCTTTAGCTTGAGTTTATGTTTTTTGCTTATAAAATGTCACAGAAGTGACCGGAGAGAATATTATTTACATTGCTGGAATTCTTATAAGATAGTGATTAATTTGAATATAAACATGCTATAGTTTGCACTAGACAAAAAGTTTAGTACATTATTTTGAGTACATGTGCAGTACAGCTTTGCCCTTAGGACAGTGTACCGTGCCCAGAGAAACATTAGGCGCAAAATTTTAAATATTATGCGCCAGATTGACTCACTCAAAATAGGAAAGATTATCTTTAAATTAAAACATTGTCCTTAATTGTGGGTGTCGCTTTAAATCAATAATCTTAAATTGAATTGCTTTAAATCGACGTTCTTCTGTACAGTATTTTTTGTTGTCCATATTTATTGGTATTATTTTTATTTATTCCTCACATTTACTAGTACTGTATATATTGTTTTAAGAAAACTATGACTACAGTAGGAAAATCCACCAAAAAATATTTTCCTTAGTACTCCCTGCTAAACTGGGGGTGCATCTTATATGCCGTAAAATACGGTACTGTATCGGTAAATTTGTACATGATATAAGAAATCAACAAGAATACTACAGTAATTATTTTTTTCTCTTTCAGCGAGTGTTTGGTGCAATAGACTTGTTTGGGTTCACAGAGTCTGTAGCGGCAACAAGTGTTTCGAGGCAAGCCACTTCACCTATCATGGACTCAACAGTTGTGGCTACTAATAATAATGCAGTGTCCCAAGATTCATTAGAACTCTCTCAGCCAGATTCTCGACATCCATTGGGACATATATCTCTCAACTCAGGCTTTCACCCTGCTACCTCAGCACACCTTCCTCACATAGACCTTCGCTCATCAACTGATGGAAAGGTGACAAGCACAAATGATCTTAACAGGCAAGATTTAGGACAAAATGGACGCCACATGCAAGCTGCAGATTTGCGATCCAGTGGGCACATCCATGGCTCTCTAGATACATCCACAGAAAGTAGACAGCATGCAACATCATTTAACAATAAAGATTCTTCAGTTATTCATTTCCATGAAAATACAGGGAAAAACATATTACTGTCATCAGACCGCCTATCAGCAAGACGGACAGAAAGTTATAATCAAGGCATTGTAATGTCTGCTAAGCCCCTGCCAAGGAATATTATCTTCCAAGTAAGAGTCCACGGAGTGTACAGTATACAGTATTTTGATTACAGATGAAGGAGTGCATTGTGTCATATCTGCATATAACACACAACTCAGCTTAACCTAATATAATCAACACTCACAGTATTACCTCACACACCACCTGCTGCACCACCATCCAAAGCATAACTGCATACACTACTACTCATAAGACAGTAGCATGCACTACCACTGACAACATAACCTCGTACACAACATAATGTCTCACAATCTTAAACCACTTGTTAGTTGCCAAGAAAACATACCACCATTACAATTTTGGTAGTGAACTCCATATGTTTTGAACAACATTTATGAAATTCATGTTGATGAATACACTGTGCAGTGATCTGTTAAATGGGGAATACTGTGTGGGAGTTGCCATCATCCTCTTTATGACACAATCCTTACCTAATATGACCTGTGTGGGACATTCACTCAACTTTAAGTGTTACTAAGTGCTGTAAAGTCCAGGTTCATCTGCAATTACACTAACTAATTGACCCAAGCCTGCTTGCCTGATACTGGCCTACTAGTTCATGTGTGCCGGCAAATTAGTAAACAATTGTTTTTGCTAAAAGTCTCAGGAGGCCACTTGTTGGATGCAAGTGTTATTATTGACCTGAAATGGCTCAATGAGTTTTGTGAAGGATTGGGATACCCATTAATTCTTAAGTCTTTACTGCATTATCAATCACGGAATGAATCTTTAGGATTCAGTCCCCATTTATCGTATATATGTGTATATCAAGGAAAGACCTCGTTTAATTGTGGGAAATTCTTTAGATGATGTCAGTCTTCAATTTTTACAATCTCAGCTTTCCATAAATCTTGCATATTCTCATTATTCAGAGGTTTTGTAATCTTTTCCCACATAATTACAGATAGTAAAAAAAATTGATTTCCTGTTATCAGCCATGCTTTTTCTAGGTCAAGATAGTTTTGCTAGATGTGACAATCATCAGTCCTGAAGCTAATGTTTCCCATTCATTAAAATGACTTAGCACTTTAATGGCATTCATTGTTTCCAAGGTGCGACTGGGACCTCTTAACCCTCGATGGTCAAGTTCTCTGATGATTGGAGTCACTGCCCAGTTGCCAGAGAAGCTCCACTTACCAAATACAGCTTTTGCTCTTAAACGAAACTCTTGGATAATTTCCGGTGACTCTGTTTTCTACAATGGAGTGAAAGTGAGTACCAGCATTTTTTATGTAGCTTTTTCATTTTTGTTGATTGTTTCCTGTTCTTTCTTAGAAGTATCATCTATCGCAGCGGTAGTGAAGGCTTATCATCCTTATCAGCATGTAGCCTTGTACCTTAATGCAGGTTATCACAAAGTTGTTTCCCCTTTTTTCTTTATTTCACTCTCTGAAATATAGGGGGAGCTTATGGCATACCCAGTACCTCTGGTGTTTTAGTGTCTTCATTGTTTTCATAATAGTCATTGGTGTAAACAGTGGTAAGTTCAATATTTAGATGTACTGGGAGGCTGGAACTATCATCCCCTGATAACTGTTTGTGAAGTAATCGAATATTACAAAAATGTATCTGAAATTTATATAAATACTTTTGGTATAGTAAGTGAAGAAATCATAGGTCAGATATGTTTAGTACAGGAAGTCCTCGCTGTTCATTGCCTCTTTTTTCATTGTTTGAAATTAAGTGTACAATAATTGAATTAATAATTTTTAAAAATAATGAAAGTACAGTATGTGTACAGTTTGTCCAACTGTACAATAACTGGACAATATTTCTATCTGCCTTGTGTACAATGGTTCTTTGTAGTAGTTGTCAAATTTGTTGACTGGTCATTAAATTTTATTGACAAAGAAAATTCTATTGCATCTAATTACTGTATATTGTATTACAATTATTTATAAAATACTTACAAATATCTTCACTTAAAAGGTAAAGAGAATCATCTCAAAACACTGAAACTAATTGTTTTACACAACTTTGCTGAATTGAACATTTTCTTGTTTTTGTTGTTTTGTTATTAGCTTTTTAATTGGTTTTAAAGTGTCTCCCATATCCTTATTATAGCCTCTAAATGTCCAGCAAGTGATAGTGCTACACCATGAAGCAAAGATGCTAATAATTGTAACATGACACTCGAGCAAAAGAGGAAAATCACTGCAAAGTTTGAGGCTGGTGAATGTGCAGTGGATATTGCACGTCATTTCTCTATCCCATCTACTGTAGTAAGATCTGTAGTGAGAATGTTACTTCCATGGGTGCAACTTCAGCTACAAGGACAAGGAGCAATGTGATGGAACAAATGGAAAAACCATTATCCATATGGATTGAAGATCAAAATCAGAGAAATATGCCCCTCAGTATGAGAATCATTATGGAGAAGGCAATGAGTTTTCATGGAATTGTGAAGCGGTAGGAGGGTGAAAGTTCAGCTGAGGGAACTTTTAGTGCAAGCCATGGTTGGTTTGACCTCTACAAACATTGCAGGAATTTACACAGCATCAAAATTTCAGGTAAGACAGCAAGTGTACACCAACAGGCAGCAAAGGAATTCGCTGATACCCTCAAAGCCCTAATAGAAAGTGCCACTTTACATCCACACTTGTTGTTTGGTGTAGATGAAACAGGCAACACCTGCAGCTGAAGAAGAGGAGAGAAACAGTTAATCCCACTCCTTCCTCTCCCCAGTAGCTTTTATCCTACCCAGCCACTGCTGATAACGTTGGAGCAATCAACGGTGGCAACAACAACACATGCACATCAACTCCAAGACCATCACTGCTAAGAATTACATAAGTTTTCTATTTGTCCAACCTACTAAAGCCTCTGACCGCAAGGTTCCGAAATGATTTTGCTTTGTAGTGATGATCCCTCGCACCTTGAGGAGCCTAAAACAGTACTGGCAGTGCACGAAATGGAGGGTAATGTGGTGATGCAGGGCGTCCTCGCTTAACATTGGGGTTATGTTCCTGAAAATGCAACGTTAAGCGAAACAACATTAAGTGGATCAATTTTCCCCATAAGAAATACAGTCGGCCCTTCATATACGCGGGTTTAGCATACACGGATTCGCAAATACGCGGATTGCCCCGCCGGAGGAATATTCTGTACATTGAAGTACAGTGATCCCTCGGTTAACGAGCGCCTCGGTTAACGAGATTTCGGTTAACGATTTACCTTCCATAAGATTCTTAACTTTGGTTAACGAGCAATCCCTCGATTGACGAGTTTTTTACAAGCTGACCTCAACATGTTTTCGCTTGCATTTGGCGGTCCACCAGCTCTAGTATTAGTCCGCCAATACAGTACAGGTTTTACCTCTCTAGTCCGGCAACCTCGGGACCTGACCGGTGCCGGACCATGGAAATTCACCTTTTTCCTGGATAGATAGTGGCTTATGCTTGGAAGCACCAGCACCACATTCTCTGCATCATGGTCTCTTTGAAGACATATTGAAGGGTTAAATGTCGTATAGTAGCTTCTCAAATTTCACGAGTTTTTAATTCTTAACGTATTTTATTGGAACACATAAAAAATAAATAAATACAAATTTTGACGGCGGAAACTTGAATTTCGACGGGTTTCAACGGCCCGCCAACGTAAAGACGACGTGCATAATCGTGTAAACAGCCTCATTTCTCTTATGTACAAAAGATTCATTATTGTTTATTACTGAATGTCTTTTTTATTGAATTAATGTTTGTGTGCAAAATGAGCAATACAATTCATTAATAATACGTAGAATATTAAAACACACGAGGAAATTACACAGCATTGTTTTCGTTGATTACAAAACCAGTGACTGACTGGTTCTACATATAAAGCTGAGGAAAATAAGACCTTGGCTGTAGCTGTAGTAAAATTAATATGGTTGTTTTAAGTAATGTTATTTAATGTTAATAAATGGAACAATAGAAGTAGCTAACGATAATGGTAAAGAAAAAAGAGAGATCGCGTATGTAAGTGCGCATGCGCACACGTGAAAACATATCGTCATTACTTTACATAAGAATATGAAAGCAACACTTATTTACTGTTCATATATATTTTAATTAATGTTTCTGAATTTGTTTTTATTGAATTAATGTTTGTGTGTGCAAAATTAACAATACAATTTATTAATAATACGTGGAATATTAGAGGAGACGAGACGGCTGCCGGCATTGTTTATGTTAAAGCTTACAAAACCAGTGACTGATTGGTTCTACATATAAAACAAGAAAATAAGACCCTGATTTTAGCTGTAGTAAAATTAATGTAAAAAAATTAATATGGTTGTTTGAAGTACCTGTAATGTTATTTAATGTTAATAAATGGAACAATATAAGTAGCTAACCATTAATGGTAAAAAAAAGTGAGACTGCGCGTATGTAAGTGCGCACATGTGAAAACACATCGTTAAATGTTGTACTCTGTATAGACAAGCAGAGAGAGAGAGAGAGCAGCCGAACTGCCGGATGTAAACAAACCTTAATTTCCCGCGGCTTTGTTGTTTTTTTTTAGGGGATTAGCCCACCCGGGCATAGGTCACTGACCCACATTGGGGCCTGAGGGGCAAAAATTTAATACTCCTGTAATAATAATAATAATAATTCAGATAAGTAAAAAAAAAAAAAAAAACAGCTGCCTAGCTACCTATTGGACAACTAAAATCGTTCCGGACCACAGAATGCCGGACTAGAGAGGTACAACCTTTAATCGGTTTTAGGGCTTAAATTCCTTACTATTTTAGTAAATATCAAGAAGTTTATACTATTCAATAATTTTAAAAGTTTAATATTAAATTTTTTTAGTCATTTTGACAATTATTGAACATAATTGAAAGTAAAGAAACGAGTTTCTGGCGTGCCATCCAGCCTATTAACACACAAACAGGCGTTAGTCTCTCAATCTTTTCAGTGGAGGTAACATGTTGCTTGAGACTCTCTTCAACTAAACGCTTTTTTTCTGTGCTTCCAAGCAAATTATTGGTCATTTTGAAATATATTGACAATATATAATGCAGTGCAGTGTTGCTTTAAAGAAAATAATCTTCAATTACACCAAGAGAACTAAAATTTTATGGGTGAAATAGCACCATGGGGTGACTTCTCTTCCACCCCAATGCCTTCTCTTCTCCCTTCTCCTCCACCCCCATTCTAATTCCCATCATCATTATCATCATCCAGGAGCCTTCTACATACACACCTCAAAGTAAGTGTACTTTTCTACCTTTTTTGTTGAATTTAGGCAATTTTCGGTGAGCTGGAACCAATTACCCAAAAACCCATTGAAACAATGGTTTCGGTTAACGAGCAACCTGCTGGAACGGATTGTGCTCGTTAACCGAGGGACCACTGTAATTGAAGTACATTCAAATCGCGCGGCATTCAAATTGCGCGCAGCGCCACACACACACACACACACCACACACACACACACACACACACACACACACACACACACACACACACACACACACACACACACACACACACACACACACACACACACACACACACACACACACACACACACACACACACACACACACACACACACACACACACACACACACACACACACACACACACACACACACACACACACACACACACACACACACACACACACACACACACACACACACACACACACACACACACACACACACACACACACACACACACACACACACACACACACACACACACACACACACACACACACACACACACACACACACACACACACACACACACACACACACACACACACACACACACACACACACACACACACACACACACACACACACACACACACACACACACACACACACACACACACACACACACACACACACACACACACACACACACACACACACACACACACACACACACACACACACACACACACACACACACACACACACACACACACACACACACACACACACACACACACACACACACACACACACACACACACACACACACACACACACACACACACACACACACACACACACACACACACACACACACACACACACACACACACACACACACACACACACACACACACACACACACACACACACACACACACACACACACACACACACACACACACACACACACACACACACACACACACACACACACACACACACACACACACACACACACACACACACACACACACACACACACACACACACACACACACA